CGGGCTTTCTCAACTTAAAACCCTCAAGTTAGTAGGCTGCAAGAGGCTAGAAGCATTACCAAAGCTTCCATCGTGTATTCTTAAATTAATGGCAGATGATTGCCAATCATTAATAAGCATTGGAGATCTGTCAACAAATAATAGATCACTGTGCACGGTCACATTCACTAATTGCTTTCAGCTGTTAGAGTATAACTGGAGTAAAAATGTGGTTGATGTGTTGCTGAGATTGCTCTTTCAGGTTACTCTCTCTTCCTCTTTCTATATACTACGTATATATGAGTATGTTGTATTTGAATGAATGACATGTTTTCTTGGTACAGAGGATCAGTGTCTCAAATACTATTTTTGTTGTTGTTTTACAGGGAAGAGAGATTCCAGAGTTCTTCAGCCCTCAGAATTTGGGTACTTCAACATATCTGCAACTGCCTCCAGATTGGTGTAACGAGATGAGATATGTGGGGATTGCCTTTTGTGCTGTTTTTGACTTGGCAACTGCAAACTCACCTTTGAAGATGTCATTCGGTTTCGTAGAAGATCCTAATAAACCAAGTCCTGTTCTTGTCAGTAGTCACTTATGGATTCCCACAGATTCCGAACGTATCTTGCTGAGCTATGTTCCAACAGATTACCTTCTGAGTCTGGATCCAAATCCAAAATGGTGCCAACTTGAGGTTTCCCTTGATTTTGAAGATCCGAAAATTGGTTTCAGGAGTTTGCCGATGGAGAAGTGGGGATTCCATCTAGTGTGCGTGAAAGATGTGAAAAAATGGAAGGATGGGTGTGGGAATTTGGGAATCATTGACGAGTCTGATGAAGCCGCAGCAGTACTGGAAGACAAAAATAATAATACTCTCAAGAGAAAGCGTGATGGTTCTGATGATGATCAAAGCCCCCTGGCTAAGAGAGAGTATGTATTTTGAGATCATTATCATATTATACATTCGTGTTTCGGTTAATGTTTTTATGGTTTCTTGCTATAACATTTTGAAAAGTTATTTGTATAATGTGACGTATGGTGTGAATTTACTAAGGATGTGTTCGGCTGTATGGAATTGAAGAAAATTTTAGTTTAATTTTAAGAGTCGTTTTTCTCCATTTCCACCAATTTTAATTTTAAGACTTCAACTCCATGCAGCGGCACATCTCCTCTTGCATTGTATGCTTTTAAGTTCTACATTTTTATATCACCACACCTACTTGAGAAAGTCATTACTTTTGAACAACATTTACATCAATGACAAACCAAACCCACCCCTCTAACCGCGGTCAAGGATATTTTTGAAATGTGGAATTCTCTCATCAATGTAAAATTTATACAGTTATATGAGTAGTTAGTTTATATAATATTCTTACTTTCATTTGTCCTTATGAAGACTTGAACCAGGTCCATACTACTCAGAGGTGCATGAAATTTTTTTCTTATTTTTATACATTCTACAAGAACTCTCTGGTATCTTAAAAAAAATGTTTACTGAATAGTTTTACATTTTTAACGAAATAGCAAACCCTCACAGAAAGTGAATAGCATTCGAAGTGTTCCTTCTTCTACTCTTCAAATTCTTCACACAATCACAAGCTTTTTGGTTCCCAATTAATAATGGCTTCAGAGGTGAAGACACTCGCAAGAAGTTTGTAGACCACCTGTTCGCTGCTTTGTCTCGTAGAGGAATCTAAACCTTTAAAGATGATAAAGAACTCAGAAGAGGGGAAGACATTTCACCGGCGCTGCTGAAAGCGATCGAAGAATCGAGGTTAGCTCTCATCAGCCTCTGTAAAAACTATGCTTCCTCCAAGTGGTGTTTGGATGAAGTCGTGAAAATCGTTATGCAAGAAGACGATGGGGCAAACAGTGGTACCAGTGTTCTATGATGTGGATCCTTCGGAAGTGCGGAAACAAACAGGGAGCTATGGATCAGCCTGTGAAATTCATGAGAAAGTTCAGTGGGAACATGGAGAAAGTGCAGAGGTGGAGACTGCTCTGGTGGAAGCAGCAAATATAAGCTGGTATAGTGTTCCGGATACAGCAAACGGGTAATTATCACAAGTTTAGGGCATTCTATTTTATTATGCCTGGTCATAGCACCATCTCATGGAAAAGTAAGGAGCAATCTACTGCAATCTACTGTTTCTCGTTCATTTGCTGGAGCTGAATATCGTGTAATGACTACAACGACATGTGTTCGATTATGAATGATGGATACTCTAAAAGATCCGACATCACCATCATTAGTCAAAGGACTATAACTCAATGGTATAATCTCTCCGACCTTAGAGCAACTCCAATGCTCTCTCATTTGGGTCTCTCAAAACTCAAAATATGAGAGTTGGGTAAAAAATGACCTTTCCAATGGGCTCATATTTGAGCTCTCAAAATTTGAGATTCTCAAATTTCTCATATATGGCAGCTGCCAAATTTTTTTTAGTAAGTCTCTCATTTCCCAAAATGGTACCGTTTCTCACCAATCATTACCCACTTGCATCTCTATATGTATATTATATATATAATATATTATACATATATATTATATATAAATTTCAAAAAAAAAAATTATATAAAAAAATTAATCCACAAATAGTGGTAAAAAAATAATAAAAATTTTGTTTTGTTTTTGTTCTTTTTTGACCAAATATTTTAAATTTGTACTTTTTTTTAATTAGATTTAATTTTAGTTTCTTTCTAATATCTACAACTTGACTTGGAATGTGCCTAATATTAATATTACTGATACAAATATGAATGGTAGGAATGCTAGTTGAAAAAGAATAGTAGTTGTGTTAAAAAATAGCAGTTTGAGTGAAATGTACTATTGGAGCAGAATTGCTAAAATGTAGCATTTTGGCACTGTAGCATCTATCAAAATATAGATTTGGCATGCGAAAATATGTTTTAGCATTGCATATGCTCTTAAAAAAGAAAGAGAGGGATTCGAGCTCTAACATCAAAACCTCATGTTCGGAGATACTAGGGGTGGCAATTCGTATTTGCAGGTCGTAATCGTGTCGTATCGATCTAAGGGTATTATACTAAATAGCTCAATTCGAACACGACCAGTTTAATAATCGTGTCAGAAACCCTCAACACCGCGACCTTTTTCTTTTTAATGACATGTTTAATAAAATTAAATATTTTATTATTTAAATTATTAATAATACTCGATCAAACATTAAATACTAGAAAAATATAAGTTTCAATCCATCCAAATTACTAAATAATTTCTAATATACAAAAGAATAAATTATAAGATACAAGTTTAGATAGTTATTTTGAAATTTAAATATAAATTTGCTTATGACACGTATAGTTAAACGGGTTACACGGGTTAAACCCCTCAACCCAAATACGACACGATTAACTAAACGGGTTAATCATGTTGACCTGTTTACTATCCGAACCCGTTTAAGATCAACACAAAACCATTTAACTCGTGTCGTGATCACTGCAGCTGAAACCCTCTTCAATTGGCTCGCGAGTTGGTGTGTTTGGATGTGTTTGGTTTTCCCTTCTCATGAGTTCCTCTCTCCGTATACTTTCTCTCTCTTTCTATATATATTTATATATATATATATATTTGCTTTTATATAGAAATTATTATGTGTAATTTTATATTTTCTAATATATGTGATTATATGTGTAATGTTATCATTTCTAATATATTTGTGTGTGTGTGTATATATATATTGCCCATGGTGGTGATGGGGATTGTGGTAGTGTGAATTGGTATTTTAGTCACTAAAAGTGGATTCTATGGGTAGTTAAGTCTTTTCATATAATAAATAAGTTTAGTCTTTTAGTATATTTCTTTAATGCCTTTTATTTTATAGTTGTTACGGTATATATATAGTTGTAAATTTGCAAAATATTTATGGATAGTTTAGTCTTTTAATATATTTCTTTAGGTTAAAGTTTTTTTTGACAAAGTTAAAGGACATTTAAGTCATTTTATATAATGTCTTATGTCTAAAGATAACAGTTGGGGTGTAAGTGAAAAACAGAACAAACGTTTGTAGCATGAGTGATAGTAATTTTTGAAAGTTGTTTCAATGTCATATTTGACCAAACTTAAAAGGGTGTCAGTGAAATTATCTTATTTAATAATATTAATTAGTAAATAATAAAATAAGATATTAAGATAGGAAGTTAGAGTTTATCTATATTTAGTTTAACGTGCAAATCACCATCAACTTTGACCGGTCAATGTGAACAAACATTGAGATTTACACTATTCTGGTCATCCTAATTAATTAAGGTTGCTTAATTTGGACTTACTGCATATTACAAAAGTCCCACCTGCCACAAATTAGACTCGTTTCAGTTTCCTTTTTGAATTAATTAATCAATCGATAAGTTTACATTGTCCAATAAATTGTTTACTATATCAGGCACAATGCTAATTATGCTCCTTCAACCACTATTTATGGTGTTCAAAAATAAAAATAAAAATTAATACTACACTAAAAACCTAATTTGGTAAGTGAATATCTATTCACCATCTTTGATTTGGTAATTAAAGATTACATGTTTATTTTTTATTGATTCATATCTCACTACTGTGGACACAAGTATTGTCTTTTTTTATTTATATCATATCATATAATTGATTGATGATGTAAATGATAATATATTTCTCATGTAAAAAGTTCTTTTTCTTTTTCCAGATTCACACTATTCTCTTCAACCTAATTAAGGTTGGTGATTTGAACAATAAGACAGATAATTAGAGGTCCTTGAAAGAAAGGTTAACAGCTAACAATGGGCATTGGAAAAAAATTTGTGCTCTTAATTATTTTGCCACCATTCTAATTTTACTGCATGTTTACAAAAAGTGCACAAATTAGACTTTTATCATTTTCGATTTTGAATTAATTAATCAATCAATAAGTTTACATTGTCCAAGAAATTGCTTACTACACCAATCACCGTATACAAATACCAAACCCTGCGAAGAGCATTCCGAAGTGTTCCTTCTACCCTTCAAATCCTTCACACATTCTTACCAATGGCTTCCACGAGCGCACACACAGTGTCTTCCTATTCTACTTGTACCCCTAAGTGGCATTATGAAGTATTCTTGAGCTTCAGAGGTGAAGACACCCGCAAGAACTTTGTAGACCACCTGTTCACTGCTTTGTCTCGGAGAGGAATCTACACCTTCAAAGACGACCAACAACTCAGAAGAGGGGAAAATATTTCACTGGCGCTTCTAAAAGCAATTGAAGAATCGAGGTTCGCTCTCATCGTCTTCTCCAGAAATTATGCTTCCTCCAAGTGGTGTTTGGATGAACTTGTGAAAATCATTGAATGCAAGAAAACGATGGGGCAGACAGTGGTACCAGTGTTCTATGATGTGGATCCTTCGGAAGTGCGGAAACAAACAGGGAGCTTTGGATCAGCCTTTGAGATTCACGAGAAAGATTTCAGTGGGAACATGGAGAAAGTGTTGGGGTGGAAGACAGCCCTGGTGGAAGCAGCAAATATAAGCGGATATAGTGTTCGGGATACAGCAAACGGGTAATTATCACAAATTCAGCGCATTCTTAGTTCACTTATCTAGTAATTATATCGTGTTTTGGATAATTGAAAATAATGCAAAAAAACAATTTTGAATATATTGGGTTTTGCATGATTGAAAAATAAAGGGATAATTTCACTCATACCCCCTGATGTTAGGTCATATTTCACCTAAATGAAGATTTGGTTTTTAACTTTCACTTACATCCCAATTTGCTTTTTGGACTCTGACACATGTGAATTGACTCTTTTATCCTTAACTTTTTAATACAAAAATATACTGTGTATAATTTTAAAAGACAAAACTACCCAATGATATCATACACACAAACACCTACCATTACCTCATCCCTCTCATACAAGCCTTCATTCTCTTCAACCTCTGGAATTATACCCAATAAGGCCCACAGTTCTTTACGTCACAAAATATAGAAGATTAGAACAAAAAGACCAGTCACAATAAACCCTAATTCGACCACTACCTTGGACTCGGGACTCTCTCCTTTGACAGAATCTAAACCCGGCGTGCTCCCACCATTGCCGACGAGCTCCAAAGCTTCACTACCTAATTCGGCAAGCCCAAAGAGCAACATCGTAGTTCGGCGACCTAACTCCTCAACTATCCATCATCACCACAGAATTAAACTCACAGGCAAACCAGTACTCTCCACAGCCGTCCTCACCGCCATTCCAAGCTCTTTTGATCACTATTTCTCTTGAGCTTTGTTCTATGCTTGTTATTTAGTTGCTCTATTTTTCTATTCTCCCGTTTTCTTTACTGTTCTAACAAGTGTAACAATGTTAATATAGTTGTTTTGAAATAAAAAATAAAAATCATTTACTAACAATCTATTTGCAGACAACTTGTATCAGTTTATATATGTATAGATATACACACAAAATTACACACAAATATGTATATAGATATATACACACACATACAAAATAGAGCCGGGGAGCCAACAAGGTCAGCCGGATCGATGATAGGGCGACGACACCAACTCAGCTAACATCGATCTCAAGAGGTGTAGGCGGTGGCGACACCAACCCTCGATCTCCCAACCCTCTCAACCGCCGACCTCCCAACCCTCTCCGATTTGCCTCCCAATCGACGACGACCTCAAGACCCAACATCCAATCTCTTCGATTCATCTCCCAACCCTCTCTGACGCGCTCTCTCTCTCAAAATCCCTCCACGACGACGCCGTTCTTCAGTTGCCGTTGAAGATGGAGTCCTTACGAGTCAAAGAACTCGGTCACAGCTTAGTGTGGGTTAATTGGGATGATTGTCTGAGAGGAGGAAGAAGAGGAAAGGTGTGTTGGGGGTAGTTTAGTCACAAAAATAGTCAACATAAGGTCAAAAGGTAACATAGTCATTTAACACCTCAAAAGTGCTATGACCCCACCAAAAATTGACATTTGGGGTGTAAGTGAAATGTTAAGTCACTAATTCAAATATGGCTTAACCTCAGGGGGTCTGAGTGAAATTAACCAAAAAATAAAAGAGTAGTTTTGAATATTTATTTTTTAAATGAAGTTTCAGAAAAGAGGCATTTTTGGATAACAATCTTTAATAATTCTATCAGAATTGCCCCTTAATGTAAATTTAATAAAATTTCAATTGTCCTAAAATGATTTTCATTTTAGGTTTTCTTTTTCTTTTTAATTTTTTTTTTCTAAAAATTAAGAAAATTTTAAAATTGTTCCAAGGTATTTTTATTTTCTTATAGACGCACCATTAATAAAAATTTCAAAAAAATTTTATAACCACTATTCAGGAAAAAAAGTTATAACCACCATGCCAAATGAGTTATTTGTATTAATTTTAATATTATATATATATATATATATATATATATATATATATATATTCTTTAGAGCACGTGTACCAGCCCCACAGCACACGCACCATTCAAATCAGGAGTGTAGTTTGAAAGCGAGACCTCAAGGACTTACGTTCCGGATCCCTACCAACGCCGCTATGCCCCTGGGGACATTTTAATTTTATATTAAGAGAACCCATTTTCTTAAATTTATATTAAGGGGCATTTTCGTCATAAATACATCACTTTCCAAAAACTTGGATAGTTAAGGGGGTTTAATGTCAACTTTTTCCAGTAGAGGGGTTTCTTGCCATAAATTGAAATTTGAGATGGTTTTATGCAATTTGCCCTATAATTAAAAGAGAGAAAATAGAGGTGGTGGCGGTAGTGGAGAGGTGAAGAAGAGAGAACATAGGAGGGGTGGTAGTTGAGTGCAAGAAATGGTATAAGTGGGCAAGGGCAATTTTGTCTTTTTAATATTTTGAGTTGTTTATGCTAGCATGACACATAGAATAGTTGTATTAGAGATGTGGTAGTTTGCTGATTTTACCGCTACCATTCACAAATTTGATGACTTGTAGCTTTGACGGGTGTGTCGCACTTTTATTTTAAAAAGTTTAAGCAAAGTAATAAAGACAAACCTCATGAGTGGTAATAGTATTCATCCTTAATTTCATTATACTTTACATACATATTTCTTGGGCTTGGCGCTTGGGTTTGAGAAAGAGATGTAATAAGGGAGTGGGCACGTTCCAATATCACTTGTAACAGGTTTGTTGTTATCATCCAACCCAAAAGTTTAAAATATTAGGTGGTGCTTCCTACCGAGCATAGCTTCGGCAAGTCGCTTAGCCTCATTCGTCTTTAGGGTAAGAGAGCTTGATAAGTCAGCTATTACACACTCTTTCTAGGGTGATTGTTTCTAGGCACCCCTTATAAGCCCCGACCCTCCCCATCCGTATCCAATGTGAGACAAGATCCTTGTGACAATAAGCCAATTTGCAATATAATTGGTTAACGTCTTTAATGTTAATTTGGCTTACACAAAACGCCAAAGTCATAAAGAAAAAAAAAAAAAAATTACTCTGACGTGCCTTGAGGTTTGGAATAATATCCCATAGATGAAACTTTTGCAAAAATAACTCTTACATCCCTTGTCAGAGTTTATTGGACAAATGTTGTTAACTTATTAATGTGACTGACATTTTTACTCTTAATATCTTAATAGTTCTTGAATAAAAAAAAAATAACAAGAATAAGGAAAATTAAAATACCATTGCTCCCTTTCAAAACCCTTTATATTTCTCTAATACCCATCTGACCATTTTCTTTTCTCTCTCTCCACCGCCACTCCTCTGTCTCTCTTTAAACCCGGCCTCCACCACTGCTCCTCACCAATGTCGCGACTCTCTCTTTGTCACAACCTGCCACACAGTGTAGATATTGCCTGCTTTTCACACTCTCCTCTTGGTGGCCACAGTTTGCTCAAAACCCGTCTACATGGTTAAGGGGTGTTTACACATGTAAGTCTTAGCAACTTATTCCTCCTAGGCAAGGGGTGTTCACAATCTAGAGGTTACATTTGATGTAATGAATCTAATTTCTTATAAATGATTATGATGAATGTATTATCTTATCTTAGATCTTATTTTCTCATGATTGTATAGCTTGCATTTTCATAGTGACAATGGAAATGAAATTGTTAAATGGGTTTCTTAGCATGTTGTATGAGAATCTTGATATTCCATAGCTTAGGACCTCCTTTGATGGACTATTCTTGACTCTTAACTTCATGTGCTCTTACCGTGTGATTAAAGACTTGATAATCTCTAGCTTAGCAAGCATGTTCAAGACTACACCCTAGTTTAGGTAGTTCAAGCATGTGTAACTTTGATAGGTTATTCTTGCAATTAATTTCATGAATTTCTTGAAGGAATGTAGCAATTTTGTGTTGTAGCATTTCATAGTCACATATTTGTGTTGTTTCCCCTAAGTTTACCTCAATTAGCATACTTATAGGGTAGGTAGTGGATTCACTTCCGTAATCTCCTCTACTTATATCTCTTTCCTCTAAGTTCTTACAAATTATTGCTTTAAGCACATTTTAATTTCAAGTGACAAACCCAACAAAACTCTATACTTCTTTCATCCTTCTAAAAGTGATTTTAAAACCTTGGTTGCCATAAACTAGCAATCCCAGTGGTTCGACTTACCCGACCAATAGCCCTATTTTACAATGATTTGTGCTATTGCAAGAGGGTTGATTTATAAATTGTAATCGATCCGTCGATCCATTTTTGGCGCCATTGCCGGGGATTGCAAACGGTTTTGTGACTGAGGTTTAAAGATCACCTTTAGTTTGATTGTGAATATTGTGTTCTTGTAGATATTTTCTTGTTTGGTTTCGGTAATATTGTGTTTTCAGTATTCCTGTGAGATTCTAGTGACTCAAGACTTGCCGAGGGAAAGCTAAAAAAAATTCGTAAGTCTAGAGGACTCCCGGTAAGTTTTTCAAAGTTCTAGTCTCAATAATTGTGAATATTTTGCATGTGTTTAACTTAGTGATATTTAAATTGTGAAGCCCTTGTCGAGGCTATTCCCATTTACTATATTGTAAAGCATCGGTCTTTGTCGTGTCCATTTATTTTTTTGTCTTGTTGATAATTGAGGAAAAAGGAATCATTGCATGTGGATGTTTTGGTGAATGGTTGTTGTGTATCTTGTTTGTGTTGTATATATGTTGTGTGAATTTATTTTTTTTTATGTATCTCAACAAGAGGTTGAATTAGTTCTAAATGGAAGTTAATTTTCCTTCAACTCAATTTTACACACCACATGAGTTTTGTGCAATTTGCTCTAGTCATACCCATCATACAAGAGATTGTCCTCCACCGGGACAATTTTCAGATTTTTATCTAGAGCAACCAAATGTAAATTTCTTTGAATCGGGTAATGATCTATATTTAAATGGTTATGACTCGGGTTGGGGAGATCATCAAAACTTCTTGTGGCATGACATAGGAAATTCTGCCTCACAATCTCATGGGCAACATTTTCATGCCAATTTTCAACCCAGTGATCATTATTTCCAGCCCTCTTCTCTTTTTCCACCATCTCAATTGGATGAGTTTATTGCTGCTAACAAACAAATGATGGAGTCTATCAACATGCAAATGCTGGA